AATAAAATTCATAAATATTCCTATACAAGAAAACCGAGTCTTTTCTACTAGCGAAGGAAAGTCGTCGGAACCGGGCTTCATAGGGTGGATACGTTTAGAGGGAAGACACTTGGATTCCTCTAGCGAGTAACCTCAAGTCGTTGAAGTTACAACCGGGAACCGATTCCCTCATCCATCATCAATAGTGAAGGAGTTCAAGACATTCGGTAAATATTTTTACTAGTATTTACTTTATAGTAACAAATCAAAATTTGTATATGATGCATGTTTTAAAGATGACGATCAGTTAATTCGCAATTAGTATGTACGGGTGTTGTATTTATACGATAAATACTTACTTTAAAAATTTTAAATTCCGCTGCGTACAGCCCGTACGGTACTATCGAACCCAACACCTTTGGTGTCGATCTACCTCCTTCAATAAGACCGAACTGACCGCCACTTGCCCCACTGATAGATATAACACCAGTTCATCTCCTGGCTCTGGCTTCAACAAGAGGGGCAATTCCGCTAAGAATTCTTTGAGACGCTCGAACGCCTCTTGTGCGGCCATCGTCCATTCGAACATCGCTCCCTTCTTCAGGGTCTTGAAGAATGGGAACCCCATCTCGGCTGCTTGGGCTATGAATCGACTAAGACCAGCCAGTCGACCCGCCAGTACTTGGGCCTCACGACGGTTTTTGGGGGGCTTCATATTTAAGACCGCCTGTACCTTAGCCGCATTCACTTCGATTCCTTTTTCGGTGACAACATATCCCAGAAATCGACCCGTCTTTACTCCAAACTTGCATTTGGCTGGGTTCAGCTTCATGACATACGTCCGCAGGGTGTTGAACGTCTCCCACAGGTCTTCAATATGGTCAGCGGCTCGTCTACTTTTCACCAGCATGTCGTTTACATACACCTCCATGTTTCGCCCGATTCGGCCCTTAAACATCTGGTCGACCAAGCGCTGGTACGTGGCCCCTGCGTTTTTTAGACCAAAGGGCATGACCACATAGCAGTACGTTCCTTTGGTTGTAACGAAGCTAACCCTTTTCTGATCGTCTTCTGCTAATGGGATTTGATGATATTCTTGTGAGGCGTCCATGATGCGCAGAAGTTCGCACCCCGCCGTCAAATCCACTAACTGGTCGATCCTCGGCAACGGGTAATGATACTTGGGGCATGCCTTGTTCAGGTCCCGAAAATCCATACACATCCTCCATTTGTTGAGCTCTTTTTTCACCATGACCGCTTTGGACAGCCATTCGGGGAATTGGATCGGTTTAATGTGTCCTGCCTTCAGCAGCTTCTCTACCTCCTCAATGACTAGGTCCAGCTCATGCCCGAAGTGCCTACGCTTTTGCTTCACGAGTCTCATCTTTTTGTCCACGTTGAGACGGTGGACCGCCAGCTTGGGGTCTATATCGGTGAGCTCTTCCGGACTAAAGGCGAAGATGTCCACGAATTCTCATAGCGTTTGCACCAATTTTTCTTGTATGTCATCTGGCAGGTCCTTTCCTATACGGGTCGTCTTCTCCTCTACCCCTTCGACCAGCTCAATCTCGAGGAGCTCGTCCCGGGTAGCAACATCGACCTTAACTTGCTTCTTCTATTGTCCAATTATCTCTTCGGTTTTTCTCTTTCCTGACTGTCCTTCTTTGATAGTGACCTGGTAGCAGGACCTCGCTATCTTTTGATTGCCCTTAACCTCCCCTACTCCACCTCCTACGGGGAACTTCAACTTCCTGCAATAGATTGAGACTACCGCCCTGAATGTGTTCAAGCTGGGTCGCCCTAGTATCACGTTGTATGCTGATCCGGTCTCGACGACCAGGAACCTAATCATCTTCACCTGCCTTAGGGGTGTTTTCCCTAACGCCACTGGGAGGACAACTTCACCGAGGGGGACTACCTCTGCTCCACTGAAACCGTACAAGGCCGTTTGCACCGGCTGCAGGGGTAGGTCTAGCTTCATCTTGTCGAGGCAGTGCTTGAAGAGTATATCCACCGAACTTCCCGTGTCCACAAAAACACGCTCGACGTCAAAGTTTGCTATCTCTGCCGTTACCACCAACGCGTCATTGTGGGGCATTGCGACACCCCCAAGATCTGTTGGGCCAAAGTGAATAAGGGTATCTCCTCCGCCAATTGGACCTCTTCTCTCATCGGTTCTTCCGACGCCCTTGCATACCTCCGCCTTGCCCGATTCGAGTCTCCATCCGTCGGGCCTCCGGAGATCATGTGAATTACCCCTTTCTTCTGCTCGTCCTTATCAGGATCTTCACAATCGTCTCTTCCCCTCTTCTCATTCTCTTTCCTTCCTCCCTCTGGGTCTTTGACCCTTAGTACGAACTCTTTCAAATGTCCTGCTCGTATTAGCCTCTCCACCTTGTCTCTCAACTCCTTGCAGGCATCAGTGGTGTGACCGTATTCTCTGTGGTATCAACAATAGAACTCTGGTCGCCCAATGGGCACCCCATTTTTTCTTGGCAGGGGTCGAGATCTATCTAGCATCCCTAAGCTGCCTCCTTTCTCTAATACGCGAACACTTGCCCCCTTTGCGCATTCAGGGGCGTATAACGGTCGAACCTCTTGCCCGGTTTCCACCCTTTCTCGTCTACCCGCTTACTCTCTTGCCCCCCTTTCCTGTCATCGGGTCGAGGAGGTCGCTGTTCTTGTTTCTTTTCCCTCCTATTGTCCCTTACGAGGAAGTCTTCTTGTGCCTCTTCCATGTTCATGTACTTGCCTCCTCTCTCATCGAAACTTTAGGCCGGTCCTTTGGATAAGGAATCCCGGTCGTAGCCCACAGGTCAGTCCGCCAGCTTTTATCTCTTCTGCGGCGGTGGGCACTTCGGCGCATGCACGAGTGTAACGGGCTATATAGGCTCGTAATGTCTCCTCTTCCCTCTGCTGCAGATTTATCAAGGATAAGTACGTCTTCTCATGCTTTCTCGCGCTCACGAACTGGTTGGTGAACAATGAGCTGAAACCTCAAAAATCTTTAATAGTGCCTGGTGCTAGCTGATGGAACCAATCTTGGGCAGCACCTTTCAATGTGGTCACAAAGGCCCGGCAGCATACCGCGTCGCTGTACCTGTGCAACACTGCTATGTTCTCGAAGCTCTTTAGATGTCGAGTCGGGTCGGTAGAGCCATCATATGCCATGGTAAGTTCTCGAAACCCCTGCGGCAGCTCTGCTCTCAACACCTCGTCTACAAATGGGTGGCGTGGATGACACAGACTTTGACGCCCATTGACCTTCTCTTGAAGCTCACGCAGTTGCTCCGCCATGCGCTCTAAGACCGAGTCTCTAGACGGCTGTGATAAGGCCCCTAATGAGTGGACCGATTGCTCTGGCTCATGCCCCTGTCCTCCTACGACCAACTGCTGCTCGACTGGTCGAGTTGTTGCCTCTGGTCGAGCTATCACCTCCCGCACCTCGGGTCGATCCTCTACCCCTTGAGCTTCGGGTCGAACAACTGCTCCCCTAACCGGCGGTGAGACCGACGCCATTCTCGCTTCCACCGCGGCTGCTATCATCCTCTCCAACGCGCTGGGCGTGATCTGTATGGGCTGCTCCAGAGTGAGAAGTTGGGTGTTTGCTCTGGTCCCCTCCGCCGCCTCCTCATGGAGCTGCGTTTCCTCTCCGTTTGTCCCACGGCGTAATACGCCCGCGTCCGACCTTGTTGGCGTCTCCATTACATCCGTTTGCACCGGGCTATTTGCAACTGCTCCAGAATGCTCCGGCGACCGTTGAATGGCAGGGGCTGGGGTCACCAGCGTGCTTCCGCACAACACCCATCTCGGCGGCGGCCCCGCCCCCACAGGACGCTTGTGCAACCACGAGTTATCCTCTTCCCTCTGCTCCTGTTCTCTTTCTCGCTCCATCTTCTTCACTTTGTTTTCTCCTCCTTAACTTGTTTTCCGATTGCTATGTATGAGATACCACCAGATCAACGCCGGTTGAGCTAGGAGTTCCCCACAGACGGCGCCAATTTGATATGGTCCAAGATGAGTGGCTCCAGTTTTCTGAAAGGTCTTCTCCGATTTGAACGTGGATCTACCGGTTCGGTGCGGTCCAAGTCCTTGAGTTCGCCGGTACCTGCAGATACGCCGGAATTGCTCCGGCGCAAGACCCTCCGACGCCCAAGTCAATATCTCGGAATAGGAAAGATTGTAAATGAGTCTTACCTTCATTTGGGTGCATTAACCATATATATAGTGCTTAACTGTACGGAACTAGGAATCACCGGTCGACCCCTAACTCGATCGACCTATGAGCAAATGGTCGACCCTCGGGCCACTTGACCCAAAGCCGTAGTGCTTGGTCGAGCAGGCTCGACCCAAGACCCTCCCTTCTAGTCGAGCCGTACTGCTCGGTCGACCGGGATCGACCCAAGACCATCTCACCCGGTCGAGCCGTGGGTCAACGGTCCTGAATTTGGTCGAGCCGTTACTATGCTAATTTCGGTCCTTAGAGTTCGTTTGGTCTTAGCTTTACGGGTCTTTATTCTGCCGATACTAATATCCCTATTAATATCCATAAATATTAGAAACACCATCCTCATCGCGAGAGAGTTCATTTGGCAAAACAAATGACAAATATCTATGAGTATACGTAATTTTAAATAGATGATTTGGGTTAATTTGAGGATTATATTTGTAATTAATTCATCCTTATGCTGGTCTTTATGTTAATCTTGGACTATGCCAACCTTAGTTCCCTATAATAATATGAAAGGAAATTAGAACAATGTAATCTGCAGCAGAAAATGAAGGACCAAGTGAGCCGCAACCTGTTGAAGGACAAATTACCTATTGTTCCTTCCCACTTTGATACCGTAAAACTATTTAGTGAGCTTCCAAGGATGTTCGTTCGATAAAACTATTTTAGTGAGCTTTAATTTTCGCAAGGAGAAAGAAAATAGAGCACTAGGAGTCAAATACAACCTCAAGCTGGCTGTACACAATCCTAGAAAAAAATAAAAAAAAAAAAAAAAAAATNTAAAAAAAAAAAAAAAAAAAAAAATGTTTCTGAATAAATTGTGGTGAGACAAGCAGTAAAGATACAAATATTTTAGAAACTGCTCATACATTTGAAACAAGATCAACCAAGGAAGTTATGGCTAATTGTATAATATGTACAAACAAAAGGGACTTGATTATACAAGAAATCTTGCAGATGCACATGTTCAAACAGAAGGGCCTAATCTAAGCACCCTTTCTAGTCTCTCAGCCTTGGAATAATCGTTTTCCGTAAGAGGGCCAGCTGGAAAAGGAGTAATTTCCACAATCAAATGTGGTGTCGGGAGCTCATCGAACAAAGCACGCACGTTGTTACAGCAAACACTTTCCCCATGAGCATTTTCTCTCCGAATCTGACAGCCCTGGGAAGAGAAAAGGATTAATAAGTAATTTAGTTATCGAGCACTATATTTCAACAAGCATTGCATAATTTAGTGGATGCAGAATACAAGAAAACATTAAGCACAGAATGTTATTGCAAATATTGAAGGATGTGTGTGCAAAATCATATGATGATATGATTAATTGAAACATAAGCAAGAAGTGTTATCTNTAGCAGAAGCATTGAAGAAAAAGAAGTTCAAGGAACCTGTTACATTAAATTATGCAGAATTTTAAATATAGATCGACCTTTGGAACTAGCTGAAGCATTCAAGTATTTGCAAAAGGCATAAAGAAGGTTGGAAGGGAGTATGAACTAGCATTACCTTGTGTGATGTGGCATCTCTAAACTGATCATCATCTGACAATAGAGATGCAATGGCTTTAAGCAGACGCTTCCCATCGGATTTAGAGGGAACCCTGTAATTGCGCCTAAGGGTACCCTTTGTTGTGGGGTGCCATTTGCTGACCAATTTTCTTCTCTCAACTGCCTCTTTTTCTAATTAGAATAAAAGATGATTATCACTAATCCTCAGACACTATAATCTTAACCGGTAGAAAGTTATCCTCAGTTGAATCTTGAATCTGGCTCATTGTCCATTAACCACATCCGAACGGCAAAAAAGAAAAACAAATAAAAAAAATATTCACTTTTGACAGGAATAATATCATCAAACAAATTTGTTTTCTACAATTTACTGCTCTACTGTTGAAATGAGTGAAAATGGCTGAAAATCTTTCCACAGAATCAATCCATATCTTTTCAGAATGAATTCATGCATTCTTGAAAAATAATAAAAGGTTCCATGGTTAGTTATCTCCCCACTTTTTCCACCTAATTCTCCATAGATCACCACGTCCCTTCCTTTGGCTCATTTTCACTACACTCGGGATAAAACAGAAATATTGTCTAAGAATCTTTCCCATTAACTTATCAAGTCATTTTCATGCAAAACAAGCAATATTTCCTTCAATGGCCAGAATCAACTCTAAGAACCTGAATCGGTTGTGGATGCACAAAAGGTATAAAGCATTTCTCATAGATGAGACGAATCGATATACTACAAAGAGTTTAATAAGTGCATAAGCTCAACAAACGAGAAGTGTAACAATTTGAAATGTATAATGTCCAGTAGTTGAAAACCACAATTTCCAAACGCCTTTAGAAAAATAAAATTGAGATGTCAACGAATTCAATTGCAGGAAGCAATAACTAAATTTCTGCAAAAGAATCCCACAAAATATTACCTGGTTTGCTCAACTTATCAAACCACTTAGCGAACCCTAAATCATCAGCTCCACTTTCCAAATCTAACAAGTATGCCAAAAAAAGCACATCTTTAATACGCATAACAGACCTTGTTTTTCTTTTCATAGACGAATAAATAATAATATTAAAAAAATCCTAAAGCAACCCGCTAAAAACGTCTACCAATTTACCTGAAACAAGCGGATTAGAAGGAGATCCAGCCAGGCCAGCTTTGAGAAGAGCATAAAAGACGCAGAGGCGGCCGGCCCACAAAGCCACCGGAGTCTGGAGCAGACTCGCATTCACATTTGTATTATGGGGATGAGCAGAGATGGAGGATGATTTACGGCGCAGATAGAATTTTGTAGGGAGAGGAGGCAAGAAGACAGTTTTTAGCGAGGGCTTTTCGCGATGGAAATTCAACGGCGACGGGAGAGCGGGTGTGATGGTCTGCAGAAGCATTTTTGGTGTGGAAAGGATGATAAATTAATGAAAAGAGGAGATCTTTTTTATGTTACCGGAAGCTGCTGGGCTCATCATATACAGACAGACAGATTCGCAGGCATTACAGATATCGACTGTTTTCAAATGGATAAGGTTTCGTTTCCGGTTTTCATTGGGTTCCTTCGTGGGGTGGGGGTTGGACAAGCATAATAATAATAATAATAATACAATATCGGGCTCGTTTTACCTGTCCTTATTGGGTTTTGTATAAGCGACTAGTTTATTTATTTAAAAAAAATAAAAATAAAGTGGATAAAAAAAAAAAGAGTGGAAGAAAATTAAAAAGACGTATCCTATGAATACATTTTTTTAATTAAAATTTATTAGAAAAACGTATTCATAGAATACGTTTTTATATTACTTTTATAAAATATTAAAAATATTTATTTTTTTAAAAAATAGTCAAATTGAATAAAAATTAATAATTGTAAAACGTATTTGAAATATACGTTTCTAATAAAAAAAATAAAATTAATTTTTAGGGTTTTAATAAACGGATTATAAAAATACATTTTTTAAAAAAAAATTGAAACCGTATAATAGAAATAAAAAACTCGATCCAATCGCCATCCTAATGTAAATCGATAACAACAACACGAACCTCATTTTTGGTTAACGCATTCGCACGAGGTATATTGGCTTATCTCAACTTTTACATTGTTTGGATTTGTTTGGAGATTAGGGATTGTTATAGTATGTTTGAATGTGGTGGTGTTTGAAGATTGAGAATTGTTAATTGTTTATCGATTATGTGTGTATGTTGAATTGGAGATTGGAATTTTGTTGGAAATTGTCAATTGCAAATTGATTTGTAGTTGTTGGGCTTAGGGTTTTTTGAAATTAGGGTTAGAATTAGGGGTTTTAATTTATTGTTGGATTATGTGTATTAGGGTTTTGGAGGATTAATCGATTGGAAGTAAAAAAAAATGGGTTCAAAGAATAATTGGATTTTTTGGGTGTTGGATTAGACATCATGTGTTGTTGTAATTAGGAAGAATTGAATTTTTTTTGCAACAGGAATAAATGGAGTATTGCGGTCCATATTTTGTTAATTTGTATTGGCGATGTGCGAAAGAACAATTTGTTTCATTTATAGATCGTCCGGATGGTTCATTTGTTATTACGGGGAGGATATCATATGGAGAGTTAGTACAGATGATTAAATTGTCGGTTTGGAGAAGGTTGGACAATTGAACAGATTATTTTAATGTTTCGTCAACGCGATGGTTCGTGGAATGCCGGAAGACTCGATAACGTTAGTGCTATGTAATGGATTTATTTCTCTCCTCCTATGTCCGTTGTGTATTTGCATTTATCATTGGAGGCAATTACACCGGTTCCACAGTTTGAGGATTTTACTCCTTATTACGGGGGAATGGATGAGGGCACGTCGACTTCTCATCTACGTAATTTTAGAGAAGGGACAAGCTCACCAATTAGAGAAAGGGCAAATGAGGACGAGGAAGAAAGTGACGAAGAGCTCGCACTCGGTGAAGATGATTTCACAGACGAGACCTCATAAATCGAATCAGATAGATCGGTAAATGAGGAGAGTGAAGCCGAGTTCATTGAAGAAGAACACCCCTTCCTAGGGGTGGTCGGCACGTATACCGCGAGATGGGTGAATGGGACCCGTCCAGGATAGATAAGGACGAGTATGCTATTCCACTCTGGAATAGTGACATTGAGACCATACGTTTGGGTATAGTTTTTCGGAGAAAGAAAGAAGCCCAAATGGCTCTGATGGCTTCGATAGGTTGCGGGAGATTCAGATAAATGATTCGAATCAAAAGTCATACAAAGTGGTCTGCAGATCTAGTGAAGATCCGCCTTGTGTGTGGAAGGCTCGGGTGACTAAGTCCAAACGGGTTCATGAATTGTGGGAACTAACGGAATGGACTGATAGTCACACTTGTATGCAACCGGTCGAGAGAAATGACCACAGAAATGTAACCACCCAAATGATTTCAAATCTCATTCGTAATAAGATTCGAAAGAAATTGGAGTACGGCGTCGACATGATCCAGTCTGATGTGAAACAGTGCTGAAAAGTGGATGTCAGCTACAAGAAGGCATGGCACGGAAGGAGAAAAGCCATCGAGAGTGTGTATGGCACTTGGGAATCGAACTTCGCAGAACTCCCTCAGTAAGCAAAAATTAATTACAAATATAGGATATTTATTTAATGTCTGTTGTTATGTTTATCTATTTATTATGAAACTGTTTTGTAATGTGTAGGTATTTTGCCGCGCTTCAAACAACGAATCCCTCCACAGTTGTACAGTGAGAATAGCAGGGTGGGGAAATGGCGCGACACCTTCGAGATAGACAATTCAAATTTGTATTTTGGGCGTTTGGTCCCGCCATTCAAACTTTCCAAAGGGGCCCGCCGGTTATTAGCGTTGATGGCACACATTTGCGTGGATCCTACAAGCGAAAATTGCTTGTGACCATAGCACAGACTGCGAATAAGCGGTTATTGCCGGTCGCGTATGCGCTTGTCGATGAAGAAAGCACGGACAGTTGGTCATTTTTCCTTAGGAATCTGCGGCAACATGTAGTCTTCCAGAGACGTATCTGCGTTCTTTCTGACAGGGATGCGGGCCTACTCAGTGCCATTGAATCATTAACAGATTGGCAAGAACCCACTGCGTATCACCGGATTTACCTTCGACACCTTCGAAGCAACGTGGTGACTAATTTCAGGAGTAAGAAAATTTGGACTTGGTGTTGGGAATTGGGTTCGCAGTTGTCGGAGTGAAAGTTTCGAGAGACAGAACAACGACTGTTGGCATTGAATCCCGAGGCACACAATTACCTTTTTCGAATTCCTTTGGAGAAGTGAACCCAGTTAAAAGATAAAGGACGCAGATGGGGCACATTGACAACGAATATGTCGGAGAGTTACAACAACGTGCTGAAAGGGGTTAGGTTCCTGCCGTGCAGAGCTTTGGTAGATGCCACATTGCATAAAACTCTGGATTTGTTTCAACAGGAACAAAACAAGTCCACGAGATGCAGGACTCCCATTGCTACGGAGCGGTATAACGCATATTTGCAATTGGAGCAGACAGGCGCCACTCATAATGTCCATGTTAGGGACGCCGACAGCTCCATGTACGAAGTGGAAACCGGTTTACGGGCGAGTGGAAGAGGGCAAAACATGTAAGTATATTTTTTTTTTACTTTTTTGTTTGTCCATTAAATTTTTTCATATTGTATATATATAAATCACTGGGGAATTATTACAGGTATAAGGTAGATTACAATCGAAAACGTTGTAGTTGTCAGAAGTGGCAGACGCATCGGAAATCATGCTCTCATGCGTTAGCCGTCTATCGTTCAGTTGAGACTGACCTAAAACTGTTGTACAGTGAGTATTTTTGGACGGAGAACTGGGTAGCTCAATTTCGTAATTGGAGTTTTGCTCCGATTGGTAATCCGGATACATGGGCGCCGGTCGAGTGGAAATTGATACCACACTGGGAGAGGATGATCTTGAAGCCTGGACCCGGTCGCGTGCAAACGAGACGATATCGCATGCAAATAGATCGTCGGTCACGCCGCGGGAGGGATAGGGGACAGTGCACTAGATGCGGTGATCCAAATCATGTTGTGGATGAGTGTCCGTCTTCACATTCTCGCACCGACAGGTCTAGACTTCGTGATGAGTGGGGAAATTAGATTTGTTAGTGTTTATTCGGATTTGTTTGGAGAGTTCATTTGGATTTGGTTGGATTATTTTAATTTGTTTAGATGATTTGTTTGGAATTGTTTGGATAGTATTTACTGTAATTTTGGTTTTGATGGTATTTTGGTTTAAATTGTGTATTTCGATTTGTTTTGTTGTTTTGGATTGTTAGAACAGGTTTTTTGGGTATTACAATAGAAAAAACTTGTATTTTTTTTTCATCTCCAGTAGAAAACGTATTTTCTTAATACGTTTTTTAAAAAATATTTATTTAAAAAACGGAATCTAGGAATCCGTTTTTCAAATATAATTATTTGAAAAACGGATTTCTGAAATCCGTTTTATAAATGTCAAAAAAATGGTACGAGGTTCCCAAATTCGGGACTCGAACCCGGGTTCGAGTGAGTCCATTATCTCTGGGGGCGCCTCGTTACCATTGGGCCGCGCTAGACTATCGCTGAAATTTTTGCGCAACATTTATTCTTATCCTTCAACATCAAGATTTTTTATAGTATATAGTATTTTTAATATATTGTATATACATATATATTATAATTTAACATATAGTATATATTATTTATAGTATATAGTCTATAACATATAGTATATATTATATAATGTATAGTATATAGTCTATAACATATAGTATATATTATATAATATATAGTACATAGTCTATAACATATAGTATATATTATATAATATATAGTATATAGTATATAACATATAACATATAGTATATAGTATATAGTATTTTTAATATATTGTATATACATATATATTATAATTTAACATATAGTATATATTATTTATAGTATATAGTCTATAACATATAGTATATATTATATAATGTATAGTATATAGTCTATAACATATAGTATATATTATATAATATATAGTACATAGTCTATAACATATAGTATATATTATATAATATATAGTAAGTATATAACATATAGTATATAGTATATAAAATATAATATATAGTATATAGTATATGTTATATGTTATATAATCTATACTATATGTTAAATTATAATATATATGTATATGTATATACAATATATTAAAAATACTATATACTATAAAAAATCTTGATGTTAAAGGATAAGAATACAATTTGCGCAAATCTTTTAGCAATAGCCTAGCGTGCCCTAATGGTAACGAGGTGCTCCCAGAGATAACGGACTCACTCGAACCCGGGTTCGAGTCCTTAATCTGGGATTCTCGTTACAATTTTTTTTTTTTAATTTATAAAACGGATTCTGGGAATCCGTTTTACAAATAATTTGAATTGTAAAACGGGTTCTCCAAATACGTTTTACGTTAAATATAAAAAACAAAATCGGCTTATACAGTTTATAGTTTATAGTTTATATATTATATTTTATAGTTTATATGTTATACTTATATAGTTTATATGTTTATATGTTATAGTTTATAGTTTATAATTTATATATTATATAGTATATAGT